TGGAAGACACGAATAATGAGACATATTGCTTCACCCACACCCAGAGCCCTGGATTCCATCTCGCTTCCATGTAAGAACTCACCAAGGAAGAGAAGGGCAGTGAAGATAGAAGGCATAGCACAGATTCTTCCAGGCTGATGTGGAGCAGCTGGGTGGAGACTGAGCCCAGCAGGTCATGAAGATGCAGAGGATGTGGTGAGTAAAGCCCAGACCAATTGCCATGGGGCTTTCACATTGACTTGTTTTAAAAGAAGGTTCACAGCTTCCTCCACCTCTGACGATGAAGCGTAAGGAAAGGACATGGTCCCCATGACACATCTGATCATATCTGAGGTCTAACCAGATACTCGGACAGTTGTCTGCCTTGCCCGAAACTTATTTCTGGGTCAGCTTCTAAATTTTGAAATGTGGACATTATGCCCTGGGAAGGCATATGGCAGTGTCCAAGCAAAAACCTTAGAACCATTTAAAAAAATATGTTTAACCTTGGCCCCTCTGTGTATAGCATACATATGCCTGAATAAATTAATTAGTTTAATTTGAATGGAATGATGACACTGTCTTCTTCAAAGATTTGTAAAAGGGATCAAATATATGGTGATGGAAGGATAACGGGCTCTTGGTGGTGAATACACAATGTGATATATAGATGATGTATTACAGAATTGTGTACCTGAAACCTATGTAACTTTACTAACGATTGTCACCCCAATAAACTTTAATTTAAAAAAACAATGTTTCAATAAAATGCTATTTTTAAAGCAAAAAATGTTCTATTTTTTACATAAGTACATTCCCGTAGTCTGTTATAAAGGAGAAATTAAATGTTAAAATATAATACAATTAAAATTGGTATTAAATTTATATTAGATTATTTAATAAAAATATAAAATATAAAATATCTTAATAAAGTTTAAAACTCAAAATGCATTCATTGTTCTTTTTTCAAAGGGTCTAAACAATTTTAGAAAATGAAATGTTATGCCAATTTGTATTCTGCCTCACATTTTATGAAAATATCTTCCCTAATTTTTAGCTTTTGTTAAATCTTGATGTTGTTGAATATTTTCCATTTATGTTCTTATTCATATACAGTAAGATTCACTCATTTGGTGTTTAGTTTT